TACCATGTAATAGTTGTGCACAGTTGCATTTATTTCTTTTCTCAAAATGTAAAAAAAATAAACAGGACAATAATAAAAACATTAAAAACACGATATTTGTGAAAAGCAAATGTAATTTGGTATTTCATATTGGATCCAGGAAGAAGTTTTTCTTTCTTCTTAAAGTCAGTGTGTTCATAGCAGAGAAGAAGATTGAAGAGAAAACCATGACTTCTATAGGAAGGTTGCTTTGTCTGATTTGCCTTAATAGTTTTAATGATGCAACTATTTTGACATTATTGTGGTCACGATTCAGTGTAACAATATCAGAGGTAAAAAGGGCAGAGGTTAAAATGTCAAAGGTAAAAAATGGTACCTAGGAAATTAATACACCTGCTAATAGAAACCTGCACTAATCTTTTAAAGCTAAAATCAAGAGAACGTGGCATTTGTTCAATGTATATCCAGTCGAGAAATATATAAATCGAAAGTTAAAAATCAACCAGTCATCAACCACCATCAAGGGAATAATAGATATTCATCTCAAACAAGCATTTGAAATCGACCATAATGTTCTTTAATTGCAGTTCCAAACAAAATCTATGAACCGTTAAGTATCTCATCTTTGAAAACATCGCGTTGCAATTCTGGTAAATGAATGATGCACTCATTTATCTGTTCATCTGAAGGTTTAGCATAGAATATATCCTGCTTGGCGACCTTTGTTTAAAATGCAAAAAGACTGAAGATGTGCTTCATGCTTTCATTGCATGTAAGGCAAATGAAACCTTCTTTGAATATGTAAAGGACTCAGTTTTACGTGCTTTCAATCTTAAAATAGAGATAGATAATTGTTTTATTACTCAATATGAATTCGCAAATCGAAATATTTTGATAATGACAATTGCTTTTTGATCTATTTATAAAATGATTATTTTTCGTAATAGGTATGGGTATGATAATAGAGATTTGAATTTGATTTATTTATTTAAGAGAGAAATGACTATCAAAATAGAAATAAACGAACATTTGAAAGTACAAAATATTATATTTCTTGCGAATTTGCTTAGCTATATTTGAATATATAATTTGTGTATTATTGATGTTCTATTGATTTGCTAAATTGTAAGCAAAATTATGTTATTGTTTGAATATTGAATAAACACCTCTAAGAGACAAAGAGAAAGAAAAAAATATCCTGCTTGGTATAATCCTTACGCTCAATAACCAAGCAATTCCAAATTACTTTTGCATCCGCAAAACACAATAAGTCAAGATAAAACCACCTGTATATTGAACTATAACAGTTTTATTTTCTCTCGAAAACCCACAAGGACAACTAAATATATGTGATGATTGTTTGATTCATCTAAAAGAAGACTTAAGATTTAATAAATCGAATATATATAACTGCAATAAAATTACAGGAAGCATAGTGAAAGCATTATTCCCTTGCTCTAGGCTCCTTTTACAAATCCAAAATACCCCCCCCCCCCAGCTGGAGTAAAACCCGCAATAGAAAATTATCGTTTTCCTGATGAAAGAAAGTGCTCTCTGTGCTCCTGTTTTACTGCATAAGCTATAGAGAAACTTGTTTTTTATTTGTGAAAGAAAACATCTTGAAACCTCACAAACCGCTGGGTTGGCCTTAACCTTAATTATTCTACAAATCAGACCACCCAAGGAGCTTTATATAAAATAACTAATACTACTAAACTAGTTGCCTTTGTGTAGCATCATGGATACATAATACAATATAATACAATATATTCAAACTCATTAAATGTGTGTAGCAATCATTAATTTGCCGACTTAAATTCAATGACAGCACTAGCCTATATAACAGCAAAATACATCTTCTACATGAGTCTGCGCCTATATTAGTTCAGCTCAGTTCAGTTCATATTCATTTCATAAAAAATACAGCAACAGCAAATAAACATAAAAGTATATATACATACTAAGGCAGAGAATGTGCAGTTTATACAATAACTTCAAACGAAAAAGGAGAAACAAGGAAAAGCCCATGGTGGCCTCGTTTAAAAAGGTTCCCCTGAATATTATAATTTATATTGTGTGTACTGCAAGGTTCTGGAATCATCAAAATGATAAGAAATTTGGCCCAGTCTTGGTAAAGTTACAAGGACCGTACACGTGCGCGACACGTGCGTTTATCTCTCACAGTCCAATAGATAAATCAATTTACCAAATATATCAATTAGCAGGCGGTTTCCCGGCAAATTTGTTATCATCATGTATTAGTCAAAACATATTCTTTCACATGATTGGTAATAAGAGCTTCCATTTTAATTTTTTTGGTCTTTGCCTTTAAAGATATCACAAAAGAAAGCGATAAACACAATATAAAGACAAATAATTACCCAAAAATGTGTGAAATAATGTAAAATTGGAGGGGGTAACAAGGTTTGGAAGGTAAATTAAACGGTACCCAGAATACAAGGTCAGTTTCATTTGTTTTTTAAACATTGACCTGTTTTTTGTATAAGCGTATGGTAGAGTCTTCCATATGTTTGGCAAAGTATTTCTTACAGATTTTTTAGAGAGTGAACTTTTCACTTTCCATAAGGGAAACATATTGCAAATCCGAGTATTATGAGAAAGAATTTGGTTATTTGATCGAGAATATGGATTATATTCTATTTGGAAGTATATTTTGAAGAAATCGAAAACATTTAGGGTTTTGAACTAAGAAATAAAGGAGCAGAATAGGCATAATAATTACTACCTGTACAAATACATAGAGCCTTCTTTTGTAATTTGAAGAGGGTATTAATTTTTCCATGACACGAATTTCCCCAAATAATAATACAATATGTCAGATAAGATAATATAAAGTGAGTTGTACAAAGTAAATAGAAAGGGAAAAAGGTACATGAAATTTCAATTGATATAAAACACCAATACATTTTGATACTTTATTTATAACATTGTCGATGTGGGAATCCCAACGAAGGTTATTATGTACGGATACTCCAAGGAAATGAACAACATTTAATTTTAATATAGGTTTAGTATCAATACTTAGGTAACCTTATCTAGTACATTGGATACAAAAGTTTGTTTTAGAGAGATTTACTATCAATTTATTAGCTTTGAACCAAGTTGAAACCTTGTCTAAATCTTTGTTGACCTCGTGCTCTATATTATTTGAATCAGGTCGTGAAAATATATAAGAGTTGTGTCATCTGCATACATAATATACTGCAAGATATGAGATGATTGTGTTAAGTCATTGATATATATTTACAAAAAACAAGTAAAATATAGATCCCTGGGGAACTTCGTGTGTTATGTCTGCAAAATCAGAAACATAATCATTGTACATAGTTAACTGACGTCGGTTGCATAAATAACTTTTTTTAATTAAGAGGGTTTCCACGTTCAACATAAAGGTTCAATTTGGACAAGAGAATTGAACAATCTAGGTTATCAAATGCTTATGATATATCCATAAATATTCAATACAAACCCTCCATTTTCATAACACGTACATGTAGAAACCATAATGGCAGATTTTGCGGTCTTCACGTTAATTCGGAGATTTGACCAAAATCCCCTATTCTGATCAAAATTTGAATCAAAGGAAAATTGTAGAGTCAATTTTTAGTTACAACATAATAAAATATTCGAGAGTTCGGATAGACGAGATATAGGCTATTCAAAACAACAACAAAAAATATTACCTAATGGAATCAGATTCAATTGTTTTCCTTTAATTTGCACTTCTTTGACGTATTCAAAATAGATACTTTTTTGACCGCTTTTAGCAATTTTTGCATTTTCGCGCGTTCGTCAATTTGTGGGTTTGACGAACGTCTTTGAGCTAAATGTAGGTCAATAAAGGTTAAAATTAATTTCAAGTTGTTAAGAATAGTATCAGTAACACAATACAAGAACAAAAATTGAGAAAAAAAAAACATTCGGTACGGACGGCACACGCACAAAATGCTCGCGCAACTTTTTTTTGTATACTAATAAAGGTCTGAAACGTGTCGCGAATTGGTCCACTAAGCGTTTCAACCAATTTTAAAGTTTGAAATGACAATGTATGACGGTGTATGACGGAAATACGGTTAATATAAGGCGAGGCGTCAAAAATATCGATACCAGCAGGCTGCCGCCTCACGTATTGGCGCATCGAGGCTGCAATTACGGCCAAAGCCTGGCTGGGGCAATTATTTTTCTTTTGTTAGCCCAGCCGGCTTGCGCCAGGCTGGGATCTGAGGCTCGGTTTCCATTCGAAAGGCGGCAGCCGGCGTATGCTTTTGAACGCCATTTCCTACCGCCAGCGGTAGCCGGCTGAGCTAATTTTAAAAATGCAGCCAGGACGCACAAGTGCAGTTAGCTGCCGCTGGCTGGTATATTTATTTTTGACGCCTCGCCTAAATATAATTAACAAAATGGCGCCTAAATGACGTCATTCATCAGTTATACAAATTTCTTTGTTAGGATCATTAATCCTGCATATGGCACATGTCATAAAGTTTGTCTTTGTCATTAACAACTTATTCACGAGATATGAAGCAAACAAAATCATACAGAAAGTATGGGGGAAAAAAAAGAAGAAAAAAGAAGATTCTGACAAAGCAATAGGTGCTCTGCTACGCTGCGCAACAGATCACCTAAATAATACTACTAAATAAACACATGAATAAATGAATAAATTTATAAATGATATGCAAGACATAAATTAAAAAAACACTAAACACATTAAAAAATATCTTTGCATGTGATCGTTAATTTTGGAAGGTAGTGATGACGAACTTAGAATCTAAGTGTCAAATCCAGAAAAAGTCATGTGACTGTTTTATTTAAAGGACAAAATGTCAACTAGAGTAATGAACAATGGGTCTTAAAGACCGTCAATACTACTGGGCCAGAAGGGATAAGACAACACAGTGAGGTCACTGACAGGTGGATATCTCATTAACTAAGCTCTCAACTAACATAAGAAAAATAGGATCACGGGGGACCAACATGCACCGATTGGGGAAGTTTTCTATATATATAGGGAGCAAGTAGCTACAAGTAGGACAATGGGGCTTTAAATTAGGGCAAACATTAAGCAAACAGTGCATGGTGTCGGGGCAATAGCAGAGTTGTGTAGAAGAGGAATAGTGTGGTGATGGCGAGACATGCCCGATGCTGGGTAGGGGTGAAGCCTGAGTTACATCGCGGAGGGGGCATTTCCATACTGCATTCATCTGGGCTCCCTACGAATAAAACAACGAAAACAAGGAATAACCATTTTTAAGAAAATCAGTTTGATAAAACGTGAAAAAACGACGATGAGAGACGAATAGACATGAGCTTGGAGGGCAGTACTGATATAGGAGGAGGAGGAGACAGAGGTGTCGCCATGTTTTTTTAAAGAAAGAAGAGAAAATCGTTCGATAATTTGGAGGTTTCTTTTCCGACAATGAGAGAAAAAAAAATCATAAAGAAGACGAAGAAAAAGCAGAAGCAGTAGAGTGTAACAATAATAATGTTGCCTTATTGACCGAGGGTCGCCCTGGGTAAAATAAATTGTTATCATTATTATCATTATAATTACACCATAGGGTTCCCGGGCAAGGTAAAACTTACCACTCGTAAAGTTTCCGGAAGCAAGAACCATCCCTCCATCTCTCCCTCCGATCATGACACTAATCTTCGTATCTGGCATCAAGATTGTAATCCGTACTTCAGGTTCAAGAAGATCCCCAACCGCCTCCACAGCCCCAGTGGGTGACGTCATAAGAGTATAGGGTGCTAACTGGTAATCTTGCCATTGTAGAAAGGCTGAATCAGATGTAATGTCACTCACGAGAATTTCACCTTCAGGTATTTGCCCTGAAGAATGAAAAAAAAATAATGATATAATATTTATAAATTATGTATGCGAGTTTCATGCTTTATAATTTCCAATTGTGTATTAATAAAGTGCACGAAATATCGGAAGACCTCTCTCTTCTTTAGGTGAAGAACAGATCGAAGCTATCAACAGCAAACAATGCCTGTACAATATTAAAGAACATCATTCGGTAAACATGAAGAAAACGATAATGAGAGATGAATAGACGTGAGCTGAGAGAGCATCACTGAAACAGGAAAAGACAGCGGTGTCGCCACCACTTTTTCCAAAAGAAAAAAAAAATCGTTTGGTAATATTGAGGTTTCTTTGCCGACAATGAGATGAAAAAAAAATGAAAAAGAAGAAGACGAAAGAGAAGAAGTAGTAGTAAATTATAAATGAGAAATGTTGCCTTATTGACCCGGGGTCGCCCCTGATTAAAGAAATTATCATCATTATTATCATGATTATCATTAACAATAACACCACCGGGATCCCAGGAAGGTAAAACTTACCACTCGTAAAGTTTCCGGAAGCAAGGACCATCCCTCCATCTCTCCCTCCGATCATGACACTAATCGTCGTATTTGGCATCAAGATCGTAATCCCAACTTCAGATTCAAATATGTCCCCAACGGTCTCCACAGAACCGGTTGGTGACGTCATAAGAGTATAGGGTGCTAACTGGTAGTCTTTCCATTGTAGAAAGGCTGAATCAGATGTAATGTCACTCACAAGAATTTCACCATCAGGTATTTGCCCTGAAAAATAAAAAAATAATGATAAATATATATATATATATATATATATATATGTATATATATATATATATATAAATTACGTATGCGAGTTTCATGCTTTATAATTTCCAATTGTTTATTAATCAGGTGCACGAAATATCGGAAGACCTCTCTCTTCTTTAGGTGAAGATCAGATCGAAGTTATCGACAGCAAACAATGTACGATATTAACGAACAACACTGTGTAAACATGAAGAAAACGATAATGAGAGATGAAACAGGAAAAGACAGCGGTGTCGCCACCACTTTTTCCTAAAGAAAAAAGAAATCGTATGGTAACATTGAGGTTTCTTTGCCGACAATGAGATGGAAAAAAAATGAAAAAGAAGAAGACGAAAGAGAAGAAGTAGTGGTAAAGTATAAATGAGAAATGTTGCCTTATTGACCCTGGGTCGCCCTGGATTAAAGAAATTATCATCATTATTATCATGATTATCATTAACAATAACACCACCGGGATCCAGGAAGGTAAAACTTACCACTCGTAAAGTTTCCGGAAGCAAGGACCATCCCTCCATCTCTCCCTCCGATCATGACACTTATCATCGTATCTGGCATCAAGATTGTAATCCGTACTTCAGGTTCAAGAAGATCCCCAACCGCCACCACAGCCCCAGTGGGTGACGTCATGAGAGTATAGGGCTCTAACTGGTATTCCTTCCATCGGAGAAAGGCTGAATTAGATGTAATCTCACTTACAAGAATTTCACCTTCGGGTATCTCCCCTGAAGAACCTACAAAACAATATATATATATATTTATATATATATATATTATATATATGCATAAACATGCGAGCTTCATGCTTTTTAATGTCTAATTGCTTAGTATAATCAAGTGCACGAGATATCGGAAGACCTCTCCCTTGTTCAGGTAAAAAAAAGAGATTAATGCTGTCTAGAGTAAACAACATACAATTCTCAAGAAAATCATTTTGATAGCAAAAAGAAAACGACAATGAGAGACACGAATAGACATGAGCTGGGAGGTCACCACTGAAACACGAGGAGACGAAGATGTCGCCACCATTTTTTTCCGTTTGATAATGTTGAGGTTTCTTTGCCGACAATGAGAGAGAAAAAAAAAAACATGAAGAAGCAGAAGTAGTAGAGTGTAACAAGAATAATGTTGCATTATTTACCCAAGGCCGCCCTGGGGTATCATTCTAATTACCATTATCATTACCATTATATCACAGGGCGAATGCTAGACACTCGGATCGCGGCGCGCTGGAAAACAATCGGGTCACGGCTCGCTGGGCCAATTTTTTTTTAATGGTGTCTTCAAGTCGGCCCTACACGCTGGTAAATTCTTATCTTAGAATAGCGACTGTTCTTAACCATTTTTTTAATGGAGGTGCTTGGGGAAATCTACTTAAAAAAGAAGTTCGAAGTTGCGATTGATTTGCTTAATGATAGAAAAATAAGAGACAATAATTAAGGCTGACATTAGGAAAGACAAAATACTAGTTGGATAAAGTGGATTTTAGAGAAAGTGTAATAGGGCCTACTGCAAGGGAATATGGTAGGCCTATTAATAGGGGATGGAAACACGGAAGAATGGAAAGAGTGAGAAGATGAATTGTGGGAAATTAAGAACAAATTATAGAAAAAAGGGGGGCAAGAGAGAACTGATACAGAAACAGATTGTATTATAGGCCTAATGGAAAATTGTGGTAAAAGGTACCAGAAGAATTAACAATTAACATAAAGATGAAAAAGATGAATTGCAAAAAAAAATAAAGAATTACATTGTAGTCCTATATTTAGAAGCAAAAAGGAATCAAGGGGGGGGGGGATGAAGGGAGAGAAATAATTAAATATATAAAAGAACGGTTTTTTTTTAATGGCATAAGAAAACATGAGATGATAGGGGAAACCAATAAAGAATATCGTAATGATTACATGATGGAATTAATTAAAAAAAATGAAAAGGAAAGGAAAGGACAAAAATTAAGAAAGAACAGAGAAACTACGACAGGGCAAAAAGGGCAAAAATACGATTAAGAAGTTATAGCAGAAGGAGTTCAAGAATTGGATGGTAGAAGGATCAAAGATAAAGATATATATATAGATAAAGGATGGTAGAAGAGGTGAAAGGAGGAAACAAATGCGAGGGATGTAACGAGAGGACTAAGGCAAGATTAAAATGATAAACGATACAGAGACACTTCTATTGTCGATAATTTCAAATCTCTTCTTCAATAAATTGTCCCCCCTATAAAGCCGATTTGAAGACACCATTGAAGAAAAAAATGGCCCAGCTAGCCGTGACCCGAGTGTTATCCAGCGCGCCGCGACCCGAGTGTTTAGCATAAGCCGACCACAGGGCTCCCAAGCAAGGTAAAACTTACCACTCGTAAAGTTTCCCGAAGCAAGAACCATCCCTCCACTTCCCCCACTGACCATGACACTAATCATCGTATTTGGCATCAAGATCGTAATCATTACTTCAGCTTCAAATATACCCCCAACAGCCTCCACAGCACCGGTTGGTGACGTCATGAGAGTATAGGACCCTGATGAGTAGTCCTTCCATTGGAGAAAGGCTGAATCAGATGTAATGTCAGTTACAAGAATTTCACCATCAGGTATTTCCTCTGAAGAACAAAAAGAAGAATATATATCAATTAATATATGTATATATGTATATATATATATATGCGAGTTTTATGCTTTATAATTTGCAATTGTTTATTAATCTAGTGCACGAAATATCGGAAGACCTCTCCCTTCTTCAGGTGAAGTACAGATTAATGCTTTTTAGAGTAAGCAATATGTGTCTATTTATTTTGTTCATGCCCTTGCCAAGTTTTGTTATGTGTTTAAGCATTTGAAAAATGCAATGGTCCCGATTCATGTTTCTTGAGAATGTGACATATAAAACCTTACATCTATAAGTATTCAACAAAGGCCCTAAATTAACAAATACGACACTATTTCTTGAGATAGGAAAATCACCTACAAAACGTCACATTAACTAGGAGATGAAGAATTCAGAAGTTTATAAATATGTGTGTGTGTGTGTTGCTGTCGTGTTGCTGGTTTTGTAGAACAATACTACTATTCCGATTTTATATTAAAAGTGATTTAGTTATCATGAAATATACGGCTAATGTTTTCTCTAAGAGCACATTTTTAAAAATATTTTTGGTCCCCAAAAATTGCAACGACACAGTGGGGGAGGGGGGGGGGGAGTGCAAACTATTTTTTTTTTGGCCGGGGGGGGGGGGGCACGTGCCCCCTGTGCCCCCGCCGTGGATCCGTCCCTGATCAAAGCTCATGTTTTCAATTTTACCGATCGAATAAAAACCAATTAGTATTGCATAGTATCTAATTCTCTTTTCATTCGGAAGTGACACCAATTTATTTTTGTAGTTTCGTAGACCCATCGCATTGACGTTCGCATCCTACCAGGTACCCATTTAACGTTTTGGTGACGAGAATTAATATACACACAATGCTTTGATTAGGGACATATTATGTCCGGCTTGCCATATTTTACTGTTCAAGTGCGGATTAAGGCTGCCTAGCTTGAATCACCCAAAGTCTGTGGTAAGTAGGATCATGGACCTATTACGAATGGACATTCATCGTTTTCTTAACGAATTCATTGTGATTGTCTCCGTCAATAAGTCGTCTCAATAACATTCCGTACATGTTTCTTCACTTTGATCTCATTTTGAAAAACATGTTTATATTACCAGATAGGTTTTGTTTGGATTGTTTGTGATTTAAAATCTCGTTTTCCCCGATTTCCTCATAATATTCCACAAACACAACGCACAGGGATTATAAATGATCATGGTGTGCAAATCGGTAATAGTAAATTTCATATCACCAAATCGTCTACTTTTCAACTTTGCTGCTCCCCATTGGGGATGTTTTTTTTTATTGAAGACATACTCTTTCAGAGCACACCATTTAAACAAAACCCAAGAGAGGGAAACTGCTCCTTTGTCAATGCCCGCAGTCGTTATTGTTAAAACAGCTGAATGTTCTAATCAGAAGGCGTTGACTATCAATGGATCAAAGAAAGAATCACGTTGAATGTCCATCCGTAATAGGTCCGTGGTAGCACACAGACACACATACACACACACATACACATGTCATGCCAATACAACAACATGATCTAAAATCTACGCCCTGAAATATTCACCCATCGGTATACTAACATTTAATACAGAGGCCTATAAATAGCTGACGATTAATTATATCTTCTAAAAGCAGTCGGGAATAAATAGACCTTCATTTCCTAGACATAGATCAAAGTTTGTTTTTACAAGAGCTACATAGAGGGAATAATGACCCGTCACGACAGAATGAAACGGAATTCGCAGGGCTGGACCTTTGGAATTTGGAAGAACGTGGATAATTTCTTTGTCCAAAGATGGAGCTAACTAGGGCGGGGAAAAGATAAATCGTTGAACAAACGATCTGTTCATAATAAGGGTTTTCCCACCTTACCTAGCTGTTGAGTTCTGTGGAGCGAATACAAAAGAAAATTCGCTCTACAAGTAGGAAAAGAAAATGTTGCGAGGTTTCACGCGCGTGATTTAGCAGTGAATCAAAGATTGCCTGCCCATGTGGTGTTTTAATTAATGATTTTTCATTTTTCATTTTGAAAATTCTATAGCTCTCTTAAAAAGTAGACTGAAAAGAAAAAAAGCTTTCAAAAGAGAGACCACGATCTGTATCGAGATTATGAAACAGGCATTTTTTTTAAAAGGAAAGAATACAAGTAGGGGACAAATAAAAATCATTATGGCATTTTTTTTCCTTCTAAAGATCGAGCTAACTAGGGCGGGGAAAAGATAAATCGTTGAACAAACGATCTGTTCATGATGAGGGTTTTGTTCACCTCACCTCGCTATTGGGTTCTTGGGAGCGAATACAAAAGAAAGTTAGCTCATAAAGAAAGAACAGGAAATGTGACGATGTTTCACACGCGTGACTTAGCAGACAGTCAAAGATTGCCTGCCCATGGGGTGTTTTAGTTCATGATAATCTTTTTTTATCTAGGTTTTTTGTAATTAGGAAATTCAATAGCTCTTTCAAAAAGTGGAATAAAAAGAAAACAAAGCTTTTAAAAGAGAGACAAACAACTGTACCGAGATCATGTAACCGGCATTTTTTTAAGGAACGAATTAAAGGAAAGAATAAAATCTGTATCATAAATTTGACACAATTGTTGTTCTCTCTCTGCCTCTCTTTTAAAAGCCTACTTTCTTTTCTGTTTGCTTTTTCGAAAAATCTATATAATTCCCCGCATTTTAAGATTAAGAATACAACACACATACACACACACACACACACGCACACACACACACACACACAGGTATATATATATATATATATATATATATATATATATATATATATATATATATATAATTATGTTTATCTATGCGATCAAAGAGCTCAGTATTACAACAACTACTCTATTTCTTTAGTGGTTTAGAAAATATTCCAATACGCGCTGGCTCAACCCCCTCAAACTGTTTAGCTCAATTACGCCACCGCAAGGGCCTGTTGGAGTTTGGGATTTTTAAGAAAAGGTGCATTCCCCTTCAGCACTGGATTGATCTTAATCTTCTCTTACTCAAAAACTTCCCCTCCTAAAGCACGGTGCGCATGATAGGAAAGTATTTGATAATGACGATAATAATTATAATAATAATAATAATAAAAATGATAATACTAATAATAATGATAAAAATAAAAATAATAATATTAATAATGATAATAATAATAATAATAACAATAATAAAAATAATAATAATGAAAATAACAGACCCTGAAAATTTACAAATAACAGCAATGATGTTATCAGTAGTAAACCTTTTATCTTATCTCTCCCTTGTCAAAATTATGTGTGTCGCAGGGTATTTACTGACAAAGTGGCTTGATATCAGTTTGGCATTGGCAATACGAACGAAGGGAAGGGAATGCATGAAAGAGAGAGGGAGAAGTCTAGAAGCCCAGTTTGCAAGTATTGTTTAGATACATTTAGAAAGCCGTGCAATCTCTGAAATTTCTGTATCTAATAAAGAGAGCTGTTGTTAGTTTAGTTGACAACCATTCTTAACATGATCTTTTTTTCATACAGATATCAATTGTAATGTTTTTTTTTATTTTTGGTGTGCATGTGGTGGATTAGCATTGAACAATAAGGTGTGAGGTTTACTCAGGGACTACCGAGGGATACTGCAACATTGATATCAATCAGCTATTCAATTGTTATGTTACTAAGTGTATAACTAGCAATGTTACTTTATTAGGCGTTAAAAAAAAAAAAGATGTTGTAGTGCCCTTTGCGACCGACCCAAAAATCTTCAAATCTACGGTCGGCTTAAAAAAAAAATCACCGTTTCTTAGAAAACTGTTTAATGATTAAAAAAATATGTACTTGAAATTGAGAAATATCAGCCCAAAGAGGGGAAAACAAAATAAAAAATTAGTGCATTCAAAGCTAAGAAATAACAGCCCAAAGACGGGAAAAAAAATGATAAAAAAAATGATAATTTCCGACCGACCGACCCATGTTTTGGCACCTAAAAAGCAATACAACATCGTTTTTGTTTTGCCTAAGTACCGTGGCGGGGAGCGAGCCCACCCCCTTTGTATTTCCAATCAAGGTATCAGACCACTTGACGAAGACGTGCGTAAAGCCTCGGTCACAAATGCCATTATGAACTTCTACGAACGCCGTACGAACGATTTTCAGACAATGGAAATTCGGGAAGACAACGGAAAAACAGGAAGATTCGTACGAAATTATCGTTCGTACGAATCTTTGTTATCGTAGGATTACCTCTTGTTAAAAATTAAAAAACAATAGAATGCAAAGGCTCGCGGAGACGTCATGCCCCCGCGGTGTCTTAGCGTATTACTTATAGTGATTGTTTATTAATCTAGTGCACGAAATAACTCTCCCTCCTTCAGGTGAAGTAAAGATTAATGCTATCGGGATAAAACAATATCTTTATATAAAACAACTAAAATGTCTATACCTTTGCCAAGTTTTGTGATTTGTTAAGTATGTGAAAAATATATTGGTTCCAATTTGTTCAAGTCAAGATATCAGACTACTCGGCTACGAATGCGTTACCTGTTGTTATATCTTCCGTCCTGAAATCACCACTAACTCCTTCGTTCCATGGTGTGACTGTTATTGTGTACACCGTGTCCGGGCTAAGGCCGGTAAATGTGAATTCCGTTTCTGTTGTGTTACCGGGATATCCATTCACACTCCTCCCGGAGGCTTGAACTATATCGACTGAGTAGGAAGTATATGAAGTCCCTGCGTCGTTGAGCCAGGAGATGGAGATGGTAGTAGGTGTTGTGCTTTCAGTGAATAAAATTTTTATCCCGACCCCAAACTGGGTTAGAAGAGGGGAGGAAAATGAAGGGGGAAAAGAACAAACAGTATGAACATGATCGTAAAGACATCTTAAAAATTTACTTAAAACAATATTGAACTGATGGAATCTTTTCTCTAGTGTACTTTTTTTTTATCGCACAACTTTACAGGCTATCAACACCTCGATATTCAACACGATACGCTGAGTATGGGTGCCTCGAGTAGTCTACTCACAAGTCACTTTTATGTTACTTGAGAATGTATTTAGAGTTACAAAATCTATTCACAAAAGTAGTATTGGAAGCTCATGGCGATAATGAAGTATTAGGACATGAACTATTAACATACAGAAAACGATATTTGTGTTGATTGGTAAACATTTTAAGGCAATTCCAGTAGCCTCGTCCGAAACATTTGGAAATGTGCCATTAATGTTTTGCATAACCCGAATATGATTTCGGGGTAATAAAATTGCAGTTGACCTTTTTGAAAATGGTTGCGATGTTGTTTATAACTTGCAGTTATTAAATACTTCACTTGCATTTATGAAGTCGAATCATGTGGTATATGACAAAATGAGGTGTAAGTGATATTCATTTCCACAAATCTTGAGTCTCAAAATGATATTATACAGTTGTCAAATTTAAAGATTTCGGAAGGTCTTAAAAAAGCAAATGAATAATAACGACATGTGCAAGGGACACTGACAATTTTAATTCACATGGAAAATTTGGAGGAAAAGTGATAATAAATGTAACATTGCAATAGATAACTGATGAAAATTGTGACCCAACATTTAATGACCATGTAAAACTAAGTGAGTTTCAGGAGACTGCACCAAACAACCCCCGATTTTGACCATGCCCCTCTTGTATTAATAACAATAATAAGCTTCCTCTTTCATATAACTCTTAAGATAAATTCTCTAAGCGCTTTAAAGATATACTATTACCCCGGTCATCGGATTCAATACATGCCCGCACACACTATGTGCACAATCTCCACTCCCCCGGGGAGCATTCCAGCCAGGCGTTACTTGACGCTCAAAAACCTACATGGTCGCATCCTATCGGTTACCCATTAAACACCTGGGTGGATAGTAGACCGAAAGCTTCAGTCTCTATAATCGTCGGTTGTCCCACTGAGACTACGTCTGGCTCCACTAGACCTCCGGTTATAGAGACTGAACGATCGCCTATACCATCGTATGTTGAAGATATCACGGCTAGATTTTAGCCGCTAGGCCCCTCCCACAAACATGACAAACTTGCCACGGCCGTATTGTTATGCCCCCAAAATCCCCCAAAATGTCATTTTACCTCGTCCATATCCAATTTTAAATTAGGCCTAGGCTATAATACATCGGTTCCACTTACTAACTTGATTGAAATAATCCGTTTAATGGTCCCTTTTAAGGAAATTATGGGTCAAAATCGACATCCATGTTGAAAATCTTGCAAGCCGTGTTAAACTCTCGCTGCCGTCAATCTCATCCCTTCTAGTCTACGCCGAAAGCAAAATGATTATGAAGGAAAAACTGTGATAACGCCATTACGAACGTATAGATGGCGCACAGTTTTTCCTTCATAATCATTTGCTGGGTTTAAGTTTACACTAGACTTAAATCCGAGTTTAACTAAACCTGGCTTTCAGAAACTAAATGATACTCAGACCTAAAGTCTGGCTTAGTTAAACCCGAGTTTAAAGTTAAACCTGATTTCAGAATACGGGCCCATGGGTTTGGTCTCAAATGATGGATAAAAGTACCTTCAATACGGTATCAATTTCATTGAGTTATGTAGCGTGAAAAAAAAAAAAAAAAAAGATTGCCGATTTTTTTTTTGTCGTTGATAATGCGTCTATCCCCTCATTTTGGGCAGTATCTCAGTATATTAACTGGACGATAGTGATTAGACATTTAACAATGCGGAAAGCTGAAAGGATTAGGGTGCTGTGTGCAATTGATAAGTGCTACTATACTCTGTGATGTTTCACCTCTCATATTTTGATAAATGGAAAATAATGTTTTTTGATAACATTCGATCTTTTGAAGAAAAAAATCACAGAAATTTAGTTTTTTACCCCCAAAATTGTGATGTTAATCAATTCCAATTTCCATCAAAATTGAAATAAAAATGTAGATAATTAAATTTTCTTTCATAAAACACCCAACTCATGGTAGTTCTAGGTTTCCTTAAAATATTATTGACAAAACAGTGTTTTGTTTTTTCAGCAGTGGGGCCGCTTTTTTTGGACGCCCTATTTTTTTTAAAACTCCGAAATATTGTGTTTTATGATAAATCTTTCGAATAAACAAGGTGTGCTTCAGTTTTTGTGGTATTGGCAGGCAAACTCCTCTTGTCTGACTTTGGCCCTCCGCTCAGGCGCGTACGCAGGGGGGGGGGGGTTAATTTATGTGTGTATTTATGTGTGTTGCAGGGGGGGGGGGTAATTTATGTGTGTATTTATGTGTGTTGCCAGTTTCCAGTTATACACTGTTAATTTATATAATATGTTTTCTTTGGATTTTCTTATCCTGACCTGGATGGAGTTGAAGGGGTGTGGGAAGGAAGACCTGTGGGTCATGGTAATTTAGTTAACCTTTTCCAAACCCAGGCAGCCCCATCATCTCTGATTCAGGTCCTTTCTTTATCATGTATATATATATGTTCCTGTAATTGCTGTAATTTGCATATTACTCTGTATTGTTCTTGTATTTTGAAATGCCGAATAAATAATAATAATAATAATAATAATAATGACCCCCCCCCCTATGGAGCAAAATGTCAAATTTTCATATTTCGATATTCCCCCAAAACACAAAAGTGTCCTCCTACCCCCCCCCCCCCCCCCGCTTATTCAGCGGCTGGCGGAGTCGTTGCGAAAGTTTTGGCCAGATTTAAAAATGTTAACCCCCCCCCCCCCTCTTGAAAAAATCCTGCGTACGCCATTGCCTCCGCATATAACGCCCTTCATAACGAACGTTAACGAATAGTAACGGATTGCTCATTAATGACGAAGAGGAGGATGACGATGTCGATGATAATAATACTGATGATGATAAGTATTTCAGAAAAGCCTTCGACTCGTTGGAATGGATATAAATTGACAAGTGTTTGCAGTTATATGGTTTTAGGCAATCCTTTCGGCAATGGATTGGATTGTTATATTCAAATCCAAGCTTATCAGTTACATTAAATGGATGGTTTACTGCCAATATTAAACCATCTAGAGGGAATAGGCAAGGTTGTCCCCTGTCTGCCCTACTTTTTATTCTGAGTGTCGAAAATTTAAGTAATAGAATAAGGTGTAGATATTAAAGGTATACTATCGGAACACACAATACAGAAATTAAGGTAGCTCAACTGGCTGATGATATGACAATTCTTGTACAAAACGTTAAATCTGGAAGGAAAGTAATACATGTGATTGAAAACCTTGAAAGGAATAAAACTAAAGATATATGGCTGGGTAAAACATTTCCCTTTGAGACAATAAAGAACATAAGTTGGCGTGATACTTTTGTTCAATCTCTGGGTATATTTTAGTAAGAATAAATCTTTGAGTATGAATATGAATTGGTCTCAAGAAAAATTCAATAAAATACAACAGCATTTAAATTCTTGGAAACGGAGGAATTTGACATTCAAAGGAAACGTAGTTATTTTTAAAAGTCTTGTGATTTAAAAATTGATGTATACAGCTCAAGTATTACCGTGCCCTATGGAATGAATAAAAGCGTACAAAAAATTATTTAATCATTTTTTTATGGGGTAATAGAGCACAAGTGAAAAAGGAAAACATGATAAGTACTCTTCAAAATGGGGGCATGAATATATGTGAACACAATTTATGTCGTTCAGAATAAAATGGTTGTTTAGCTTCCTGAGCTTGAAAGAACTCCAGAAAAAAAGGGAAATGGGCTATTTTTTCGAGTATTGGATTGAACAAATTGGAGGGATTAATATCATAATGAATTGTTAATGTTTACCAAAATATGTGAATTCTTATAGAGGAAAACTACCTGATTTCTATTGTGATTTACTTTATACATGGTTTACAATAAAGCAAGTAACTTGTGCAAAAAAAATGAACAACCCACCTATAGAAGTGTTATAAAAGAAATGATTTGGTTAAATTGTGATATCAAAGTTAAAGGAAAAGTATTATTATATAAATATTGGATAAAATAAGGTTTATTATTTTAGGAGATACAGTGATATGAAATAGATTCTTGACAGTCAAAGAATTGAAATATAAACTTATTTATTATGATGGTAGATGGTTGAGTGAATATGAACCGCTATACAACAAAGATGGAGGCAAATTATAAAAGATGGCAGACAAGTTTATGATTTTAAAGATACAAACGTAAATCAATGACATATTCTAATTTGAATTTGAATAACTTTGAATTATCAACACACTGTATTACTGTGGAACAAATATATATACGGAACTCGTAAAATTAATTCAAAAACCATCTAGGGCGGTAAATTTCTGGAACAAAACTTTACAAACAAATATTTCTATTAAGCGGGATTCTCTGTAGTTACTTAAATTGAAATATGTTCGTGATAATTACTTGATACAGTTCAACCTTACATTTATGTATAATATTTTACCAACACCTGTTAATTTATTCAACTGGAAAATCAAAGAAAACGATTTGTGTTATTAATGTAATAGACCTGGTACCACAATACCACAATACAATACCACAATGTATTTTTTGAATGCGAAAAGACCTATCCATTTTGGAACTTTATTGAAATATTATTATGTAATTCCTTGTACAGAAATTTTAATTTCTCACCCATTTGTGTTGTATATGGTTTTCATGACGCAAAAGAAAATGTTGCAGATATTAATTTAGTACTTCATTATGCTTTATTTGCAATTTATGAAGCGAGTGTTGTAAATGAATGTAATAGAAATGTCGCAACGAAAATAATAAGCAAATATTTTTGACTACATTAAAATACAGACTAGAAGTTGAGGAAAATAAAACTAAGACGACAGTTGTGAATACCACTAAGTGGATAAAGATAATTCATGGTTTACAAGAAATGCAAGTACAATCTGCTTTCAAGTAAATACAGATGTATAATTTGATCTCAATCAAACATGTGATTTTGTATCTGAATAAAGATGTATTTCAACAACAAAAATAATAATTAAGTATTGTTACCCAGAAAAAGCTCAATCACCATTCAGTGTTGTTCGTTCTGAGGACCCGGCAATTATTAAGACACCAGCAAATACTAGGTACACATTTACACCTAGGTGGAGAGTCGTAAAATTGTTTTTTAATATCTTGCCAAAAGACTTACGGACCTTGGGATTTGAACCCTCAACCATAGGATTGGAGGTCAAATAAATGAATCACTGTGCCAAGACATAGCATCGAATGAACCACTTTCATATTTATTTTCACGCACAAACAAAACGTTCATTTTGTTTATAATGATGTAAAACAATACTTACAGCAGAAGAGGTTACAGACAATAGGACGATAGAGATGAAGACGAGAGATCGCACAAGACTCTTCCTCGAAGTTGATCCCATTCTAGATGTTCAGGTCGCAAATGATATGGAGAAATGATTAACTGAGCGATATAGAGTTTCGAAGTGCTAATCGCTCGTCGTTCGGGTTACTGGTTCCAAACAACAGAGACTACGCATGATGTTTCACCACTACATCATTACAGCAACGGGCTGGAGCAGGGAAAATGTTTGGCGCTGGTGTAACCACCACGCTATTGTTTAGCACAAACTTGTTTCGGAATCAGCAACCCTGACAAATCAATATTCACTAACAAGGGCGGAGAAAAGATAAATCATTGAACCCAAATATCTGTCCAAGATAATATTTTTTTCTCCTCACCTCGCTGTTGAGTTCTGTGTAGCACATACAAAAGAAAGTTCACTCCAAAAGAAAGAACAGGAAATATGGCGAGGTATCATGCGCACGATTTAGAAGAGAATCAAAGATTGCCTGGCCCAGGGGTGTTTTAGTTCATAATAATCTTTTTTTTAATTGGAAATTATATAGATCTTTTCAAAAGTGGAATGAAATGGAAAATGCTTCTAAAAGAGAGACCATGAACTGTTTCGTTATTATCAAGCAGGCATTTTTGTTAAAGAAAAAATATAAGTAGTGGACAAGAAAAAAAAAATCCTTTTGACATTTCTTGTTTAAAGATCTCACTAACAAGGGCGGAGAAAAGATAAATCATTGAACCCAAAGATCTGTCCAAGATAATATTTTGTTCACCTCACCTCGCTGTTGAGTTCTGTGTAGCACATACAAAAGAAAGTTCACTCCAAAAGAAAGAACAGGAAATATGGCGAGGTATCATGCGCACGATTAAGAAGAGAATCAAATATTGCCTGGCCCAGGGGTGTTTTAGTTCATGATAATCTTTTTTTTAAATTGGAAATTCTATAGCTCTTTTCAATAGTGGAATGGAAAGGAACTCCTTTTAAAAGAGAGACCACGAACTGTTTCGTTATCATCAAACAGGCATTTTTTTAAAGGAAAGAATAAAAGTAGGGGACAAGAAAAAAGAACCAGTGTGACATTTTAAAAATTGTTATTACTAAAGATCGACCTAACTTGGGAGGACAAAAAATAATGATGATGAGGTAGGGAGTGAACACAATAGAAATATCAATGTATGTGTGATCTTAGAAGAAGATGCAAAGACAAATGCAAAAGTCATTTTTCCTAAAAACAGATCAAACATGGGTTATCGGGTCTTGTTTAAAGTTAAGGTGGTTGTTTTGGGAATCAAAATAGTTGAATTGTAGTCAGAAATGAAATAAAACAACAAAAACAATAAAATACAAAAGTTAAAAAAAACAATGAAATACATAAGAAATTATCAACACAAAGGATAACATAAGGAATAAGCTGGCTCTTCCAAATTTTGTTGTCGTATTACTATTCAGAATTATTGAGTTCCAGATAGCCTACTGTACACTGAGTGAGTTCTTTTGTTTGCTTTTTCTACTGACTGGATAAACTTTTGCCTGAAAAGCGCGGTTTAATACAACAAAAAAGACAAAGGGGGAAGATAAAATACTTTCAAAGAGTGGGGGGGGGGGGGGGGGGAGGGGGGGAGGGGGGGGGGGGGGTTGGAACAAATTTGTAGAGAAAGCATGTTAATTTGGACGAACATTTCATCAGTAATACAAACAGGTCGTACAGTAGTAGCGGTTCTAGAGCGTTTCATTTGTGTTTGTTATTTGTTGTTCGATCTTTTTATTTGTTTTATATTTTTGTTTTAATATATTCTTTTATTGAGGGTGGGGGAGGGGGGGGGCAATCCCAATGGTCACCACGTGTATAACATATCGTTTGAAAAGGCAGGAATGGCAAACGTGATAAAACTATCAATTCTTAACCGAATAGTTCTCCCGGTTTCTGTTTGCACCTTCACAAACATAACCCTCACAAGAAACACAAATCATTCTTAACACGTTCGCAAATGTCATGAGGAAGTTAAAACGCTATCTATCACGATCTAAAATATTTCTTTTTATGTCCCAATAACGTTGAGGGTTTATGTAAAGATAGAGGTCAAAATCTAGAAAGCATAATTTAGCTTGTCTTTTCTATTCGGCTTCATATCTAGTGCATGACCGTTTAAATAAATTAATACTCGTGTGTTACAGTATTTACCAAAGGAAAAACAAATCGTTCACACATGTGAAATAATATGCTCTCGTCATCTTATTATAATGCCACTGGGCGTTGGTCCGTGTCAATGCATATAAACAGAGTAATGCAATAGCGCCCTCTGACAGAAGTGAACACTTCGAAGGAAGGTCAAGCAGGGAGATGAGACGATATCAATTAAGGGGGGAAACCCAATATCATTTATCATTGTTTTTAGAGCATGTGTAATAATTGTGCACAGTTGCATTTGTTTCTCTTTTCAAAAGGTAAAATACACAGGCTTACAACGTTACAAACATGACAGTTGTGAAAGGCAAATGTCATATATTATTTCAAATTGGATCCAAGAAGAGGATTTCCTTTTTTTTTAAAGTCAGTGTGTTGATGGCTAAAGTCAGTTTGTTCATGGCTGAGAAGAAGATCGAAGAGAAAACACGACTTCCTATTTCAGTGTAAAAATATCACAGGTAAAAATGCCAGAGGTAAAAATTTCAAAGGTAACAAATTTGCCCTCGGAAATTAATATATATAGTACCTCCTTTAAAAAAATATTTAAAGAATCTGTTAAAGTTTTAATTAACAAAAGTGGTATTTATTTATATTTCTGCTTTATATGCCCTTCGAAATCATGTACATACATTTAAAAATACCCACAAACCACAAACAGCAAATAAGGAATAAAAAACGGAAACTACTGGTACTGTAATGTTTCAAAAACCTTTTAATGATTATCAAAAAAACTTTCGAAAAAAATCTACATTCCACACATGGTGGAATTGCCAAGAATATGTATATCCAATCGAGAAATATATCAATCAAATATTAAAAACCACACAGTTATCAACCACCCTCAAGGAAATTATAAGTATTCATCTCAAAGAAACAATAAGAATAGACCATATGTTCTTCATTACTATGTAATTCTCTTCTCATGAATATTTATCTTAAACAAGTATTTAAAATCTACCAAATGTTCTTTATTACTCTATAATTCTCTTCTTATGAATATGCCTCTCAAACAAGTATTTGAAGTCTACCAAATGTTATTTATTACTCTATAATTCTCTTCTTATGAATATTAATCTAAACAAGCATTTGAAATGTACCATATGTTCTATATTACTTTATAATTCTCTTCTTATGAATATTCATCTAAACAAGCATTTGAAATGTACCATATGTTCTATATTACTTTATAATTCTCTTCTTATGAATATCCACCTCAAACGAGCGTTTAAAATGCAAATGTTCTTCACAACTCTTTACATATCTTCTTCTAATTCAAAAGAAGGTCAGTTAAGTTGTGAGTTTAATCAAATTCATAATTCTCATGTAGTCCGATTTTCCATGATCAAAAAAGAATGATTGCATCTTTATCTGGGGTAATAAGTCTGAAATAAAATGTGATGCCCTTGAAATGATTAAGAAGGGATTAGACGGACTCAGACTCCGATATAGCATTGCCAAACACATTGTTAATGCGTGATATCATATCGTCATTATTGTCGCAGATAAACCCCTAAATAAAAAATGTGATCTTTCGAGGCTGTTTATATTAAAGAGTGAGCTTTCAAGTTAATCTTTAATCCCTCTTCAACTCTTACCAACGCTGTGAAATTATCTGTCTTAAAAAATAATGTTCCCTCTCATCAAGTCATTATTAACACCATACTTTACTCTCATTCATAGTGGAATATCTTTAAATATCTATACTATAAGCGATTTTGTAATATCTAACTTAGGTAAGTTCAGTTATCGTCGATTCTTCATGCAAGTATTCTTTTATGTTATTTCTTTTAGAATACGTTAGCATGATGATCTATTGTTCTTTTTAATCTTGGTACTAAGAAAGGATTTTTCATATCTGAGAAGACCACATCGTAATTCACTCTTCTGTAATATTCACGTGAAGATAAATAAATAAAGATATATATATATATATATATGAATATAACACGGAATAAAAAAAGCATTAATAAATAAATACACTAATACATAAATACATAAATAAATGAATAAATGTATAAAAAATGTAAAAGAAATACATAAATTAATAGAAAACAAAATCAACATTATCTTTGCTTGTGATTGCTACTTGTTTAAAGGTAGTGATGACGAAATTAGAATCTAAGTGTCAAATCAAGAAAAAAAGTCATGCAATTGCTTTATTTAAAGAACAAAATATCAACTAGAGTAATGAACAATTGGTATTACATTAGGGCAAACATTAAGCAAACAGTGCGTGGTGTCAGAGCAATAGCAAAGTTGTGTAGAAGAGGAATAGTGTGGTGATGGCGAGACATGCCCGATGCTGGGTAGGGGTGATGCCTGAGTTACATCGCGGAGGGGGCATGTCCATCATACATTCATCTAGGCTCCCTACAAATAAAATATATAAAATATATGTTTATAAAATGTGAGGGAAATAATAACTGCAGGGCCCTCAGGAGGAACAGTATAAATGTTGAAGAGGCCTACCTGGGTAAAATATATAATTTATTATTATTATTATTATCATTATCTTTTAAAAGTTGTAATCATTGTTTGTTTTTAAATCGTTAACACCAATACACCATAGAGCTCCCAGGTTAAACGGGGTAAAACTTACCACTCGTGAAGCCTGAGTTACGCGGCTCAGTAGTCATTTCTATCCTGCGTTCATCTGGGCTCCCTACAAATAAAATATATAAAATATATGTTTATAAAATGTGGGGGAAATAATAACTGCAGGGCCCTCTGGAGGAACAGTATAAATGTTGAAGAGGCCTACCTGGGTAAAATATATAATTTATTGTTATTATTATTATCATTATCTTTTAAAAGTTGTTATCATTATTTGTGTTTAAATCGTTAAAGATAAAGTTGAGTTCTGGTCATGTGATTGCATTGTAAAAGAAACGGTGGGGAATCTATCAGAAAAGGTAGATCATCTAGTTTATAATTATTCGTGTGTATTGCAAGGTTCTGGAATCATCAAAATGATAAGAAATTTGGCAAAATATTGGCAAAGTAACAAGCACTGTACACAGAATGATGTATATGGGACTACACGAACACATGGCGAAAAAATCCTACCCCGGATGTTTACGATGTTTTTTATGTCATATTTAGAATATGAAGGCATTTGAAGAGCCATGCTTTTCAGGGAACATGTTTAATCTGATGTTCTTCCACCCTTGCATAATAACAATGATAACGCTCACAAATTAATTTTTAACCTATTCCCAGAACTAAACCTTCTCTTTAATCACCAAAACACCATAGGGCTCCCAGGCAAGGTAAAACGGGGTAAAACTTACCACTCGTAAAGTTTACCGAAGCAAGAACCATCCCTCCACTTCCCCCACTGACCATGGCACTAATCATCGTATCTGGCATCAAGATCGTAAGCCCTACTTCAGCTTCAAATATGCCCCCTACGGCCTCCACAGCACCGGTTGGTGACGTCATGAGAGTATAGGACCCTGATGAGTAGTCCTTCCATTGGAGAAAGGCTGAATCAGATGTAATGTCAGTTACAACAATTTCACCATCAGGTATTTCATCTGAAGAACAAACAGAAGAATATATATAAATATTTATATCTATACATATATATGCGAGTTTCATGCTTTATAATTTTCAATTGTTTATCAATCTAGTGCACGAAATACCTTTCCCTCCTTCAGGTGAAGTAAAAATTAATGCTATTGGGATTAAACAATATCTATATATAAAACAACTAAATTTGTTATACCTTTGCCAAGTTTTGTGATTAGTTAATTATGTGAAAATGTATTGGTCCCGATTCATGTTTCTTGAGAATGTGACGTATGAAACCTTACATCTAAAAGTATTTAACCAAAGCCATAAATCAAACAGTCCCCCTTTCATTCTTGAGATACGAAAAGCACTAAAAAAACAAACATAATATTTACGAGGAGTATGAACAATTCAGTTGTCGTTTTCGCTAATTGTCTAGGCTTATACTACATTAACGATTTGGATTTAAAAGTGATTTAGGCTAATTTGTTATCGAGAAGATATCAATCGCATGATATAATTGACGAACATTTAGTTGTGAAAGTCATATTTGGAGTTGATATATTAATATTCCTGGCAGGGTGGATCTAGCTTTTTGCTATTAGGGGGAGGGTTTGACCCAATGACGAAGTAGAGCAACGTCAAAGAGCCGCATAGCAGGCACGTAGCCAGAGTTTGATGTTTTTTTTTTTTTTTTTTTTTGGGGGGGGGGGGGGGGGGCACGTGCCCCCCCTCCCGTGCCCCCCGTTGCTACGTGCCTGCCGCGTAGTAGTCCATAATCTGCACGGTTCTTTATTTTCCCTACCCACTTGATTAAAGCCGCCGAAGATGGCGTTATCGACGAACCCATATTTATGCTCACCAGTCCGCAGGCTGAGATATTTTTTCGCCAGCCGGGCGTCCTTATTTAATAGGGAATTTTAGATTTGCACGACGAGAACGTGGGCTGCAACGTTTGACATCCTTTTAAGGCATTGTGACGTCCTTATTTAATAGGGAATTTTAGATTTGCACGACGAGAACGTGGGCTGCAACGTTTGACATCCTTTTAAGGCATTGTGACGTCCTTTTAGGGCACTGCCGGGCACTGCCAGTGCCTTAAAAGGACGTCACATTGCCTTCAAAAAAAGATTGTAAGACGTTGCAGTTCACGTTCTCGTCGTGCAAGTAAGTAGGGGGAGGAAGTGATGGTGAGGTGGAGATCATAATTAAAGAGGCCAGATTCTGGACTAGCCGCGTAGTGGCGAGGCGATTTTTTGTTGTTGCTATTTTCATACTAATAACAGAATGGCGATCATACAAAGCAGTGCATGATAACGTATTTTAATGACGATGCGGATACTGTGTGGGTCTGGACACATGATGTCGTTTTTCTATGCACATCACATTTTCACTCGGCAGCCCAAGGGGCGGGGGGTTTGAGTTAAACCCCTAACACCCTAATTTGTATCATCACGTATTAGTCAAAACATATTCTTTCACATGATTGGTAATAAGAGCTTCCATTTCATCTTTTTGAGAGGGGGGCGTTTCCAAAAATGGTCTTTACCTTTAAAGTAGATATTCATTGATTTTAAAACTAATTTTATTTTCATTATTGCAAAGTTGAAACTTTGATTCGACAAGGTCATCAAAATTCAATGCTTGGAAACATTCGAAGTAATGATTATTATAAATTACAAAACGCTTAAATACAGCCCCGGCAGCGCATATTTTTTTCTACACAACTGTTAAGCCATTTTCGCGAAAAAAAAATCCAAGAAGTGCTCTGGTGAAAGAGTCTAAGTCGTCAGCGCACTTGTGTGCCAGCACGTACACCCAGGGAAGGGAAGATGATAGAAAGGGGAAAACAAGGATAGTGGAGAGGATAAACAAGGAATAAGGAAAAACATAAGGAAAGAGAAGAGGATAAGTCAAAGGAATAACATAGAAATACATAATTGAAGAGCTAATAGGATCATAGATCTAGACTAAAGAAAAACAGGGAAATACATAAAGAAGGGGAATCTATGAGATTAAAACAAAGAAATAGATGACGAAGGAAAAAAGGATAGATTGAAGGAGAAACAAAGAAATACATTAAACAAAAGAGAAAAGGTTAGAATAAAGGAGAACAAAAGAAATACATAACGAAGGAGAACTGGGGAATAGATTAAGATTGAAGAAAAACAAAGAAATATATAACGAAGGAGAAAAGGGATAGATTGAAGAGAAAAAAGAAAGAAATAAATGACAAAAGAGAAGAGGATTTATTAAAGAACACATACAAACATAATGAAAGAGAAGAGGGGATAGATTTAACCCGAAACAAATAACGAGTATGTACACATGTACAGCTCCAGCAATCCAACAAAACTGCTAAGGGTAATGCTAGACTCTGTCTCTAGTCGTTTGCACAGTATATTTGACTGAATTGGCTAAACAGTTGTGTAAAAAAAATATGCGCGCCCCGGCATAGCACCTGCAGAGCTCTCCGAACTCTGCTGAGATGTGTGAGATCACAGTATGGACATGATTTGCACAAGCAGACGATGTCCCATGACATCTCACACATTTTTAGTGCCTGTGTGTTCATCTTCTCTTGAGTTATTTCTTTTACTTCACTACCGTCAGCCTAAATGTATAATATAATGCCTCACTCTAAACCCCGCGCATGGTTTTATTTTGATGACAAATGCAGCGATACAAAAATAAAGGAATCTGTCGCTTGTAAACAAAATAAGACGCCATTGTATATTCAGGTGCACACACCGCGGTATGTTCGGCGTTTCAAGAGGGAACAAATGCCGTCCTTAATATTATCCCAGGGTTTTTTTCAATTTGAAAGTCTGGTTTCTTTGATTGTTAATTAACTCTTATCCTGTGTATTTACAAGCAGAAGATTTTAGTTATCAGAATCGGGTCATATCCCCTTTTGAATGGTTTGCCATGCCATTATATTTATATACAATAAACTCATTATAATTTGAGAAATAATAGCTTTGCGATTATGTTCATTTTCTATGGGATATCGTCTGCTTGGGCAGTATTGGTCCATATAGTGATGTCATTAAAACACCGTTTTTTTTCTGGCGAATCTCTCGTATATCCCAGCTGCTATGGAGGTGGTTGTATTTGTATTTTTTTTTATAAATCACCCGATATGTAGTTGACCTAAACTTGTACGATGGCCATCTGTTAGCTTACCAGTTTCTAGTAATACAGTAGTTGACATATTTGTGATTTTCTTTGAATTTCACCTTTAAAGCATGGGTGCGGGGAAGTAATGTATACAAAATGCTATGCTTAAGGATATAATATAAGTGGCGTGCCGGGAATCGAACCCATGCACCCCCTTTATATTTCCAGTGAATGTATCAGACCACTCGGCTACAAATGCGTTACCTGTTGTTATATCTTTCGTCCTGAAATCACCACTAACTCCTTCGTTCCATGGTGTGACTGTTATTGTGTACACCCTGTTTGGGCGGAGTCCAGTACATGTGAATGCCATTTCTGCTGTGTTACCGGGATATCCATTCACACTCCTCCCGGAGGCTTGGACTATATCGACTGAGTAGGAAGTATATGAAGTCCCTGCACCGTTGAGCCAGGAGATGGAGATGGTAGTAGGTGTTGTGCTGTCAGTGAATATAATATTTATCCCGACCCCAAACTGGGTTAGAAGAGGGGAGGAAAATGAAGGGGGAAAAGAACAAACAGTATGAATATGATCGTAAAGACATCTTAAAAATTTACTTAAAGGCCCACTGCACTACTTGTAGCTACTTGCGCCCTCTATATAACAAACCATGCCTAATCGGTGACCATTGGTCCCCCATGATCCTCTTTTTCTTATGTGAACTGAGAGCTGAGTTGATGAGATAACCACCTGTCCAGTGACCTTGCAGGCACTGGCGTACTGGTGGGGGTGCTTGGGGGGGGGGGGGGGGGGCTTCAGCCCCCCCAAATAAAATTGAACCACGACTTTTTTTCACAAGTGATGTATATGTTCGTGATATCACATGATTTTCAACAAAATGCTAGTTTTTCCATTAATTCCTGCAAACTGACCCATTCCCAAAAAGCCAGGAAGAGCTTATGTTTTTATTGTCACTAAGGGCCTTATAGTGGCCACCAACAGTAACACTGGTAAAAAAATCCTTTCCAGAAGCTTTGTGCAAAGCACTGCCGGGAGATAACATGCTACCTACCACTCGGGCTGAGCGTGCACAGATTTGCGAACGAGCGTTCCATACTTACATCATGTAACACTGCACATATAGTGGGGGAAATTGAATTCAGACAAGATTAAGAGTACTAACGGTACAACGAATCGTCTTCCGCGCTTTGCACGGGAGGGGGGGGGGGGGAATTGAATTCAGACTAGGATTAAGAGTCGAGAACGGTTTTGATGAAACGCGAAAATGATTTCAGACAAGGATTAAGAGTAATAATTAAATAAAACGACAAAGCTTCCGCGCTTCGCGTGGGAGGGGGAAAACTGAATTCAGACAAATACACGATAAAATGAATCGTCTTCTTTCTCTATAAATTTAATGAAACGTGATAGCTTCCGCGCTTCGCGCAGGATGGGCGAAAATGAATTCAGACAAGGGTTAAGAGTAATAATTTATTGAAAGACAAAGTTTCCGCATTTCGCGCGGGAGGGCCGGGGACTGATTTCAGACAAGGATTAAGAGTCGAGACCGGTACAACGGATCGTCTTCTTGCTCTAATAATTAAATGAAACGTGAAAGCTTCAGCGCTTCGCGCGGGATGGACGAAAATGAATTCAGACAAGGATTAAGAGTAATAATTTATTGAAACGTCAAAGCTTATGCGCTTCGCGCGGGAGGGGGGGGGGGGAACTGAATTCAGACAAGGATTAAGAGTCGGGGTTGGAACAATGAATCGTCTTTTTTCTCTAATTATTAAATGAAACGTCATAGCTTCCACGCTTTGCGCAGGAGGGGCGAACCATGAATTAAGAGTCAAGAACGGTACAACGGATCGTCTTCCATCTC